TACCCACTCGTATTAAGGTGAAGGGGAATTTTTTTTTTTTTTTTTTTGCTTGGGTTGTTTAATTTGCAAGGTGACACAGGTGGATTACTGGAAAATTAAAGGAGGAGGCAGAATTAAATTTTCTCTTAATGAGAAAAAGAGAGAATGAAGAACTTTCTTTCCATTTTTTTTATGCATATTGTAGAAAAATAACTGATTTCCACGCAATTGGAAGATAGAAATACTTTAGTTTTATAATTATTTTAAAAGTTTCGAACAATCAGATAATTTGTATCCATGTACAATTTGTTGTTGCATATTGTAGAAAAATAACTGATTTTCATACAGTTTTCAAAAAAAACACTCGTGCGTTTCATTCCCAAGTAGTTGGACAATAGGAATACTTCGTTTGTCCAGTACTAGCTCGATTATAATCGGGCTCTGTTGTAAAAATGAAGACAATAATTTTTTCAGGACAAATTCCAAAGCACTTGTAACCAGATGCCCATAAAAAAATGTATGTACCGCACGCACGTCATTCATAGCTTCGAATTAGGAGCAATTAGAAGCGCGTCGGCTGAATAAAAACACGCGCGGGCGATCGTGACGTTTTCTCAAGTCATAAATATATGTGCTTTCCAGGCTCGATCCAACAACTCCAACTTAGGGGGGGGGGGGGGAATAACTGCTAAACGTCCGAGAAAGGGAGCGCGGCTCAAGATTAATACGAAGTTGAAAATGACCGCGCCATTAAAAATGTATTTGTCAAGTCCGCGTAGCAGCACACGGGGAGGCGCTTTTCCTCGCGGAAATTTAAAATCGCGTTAGAGGGAGGGAAACTGCGCTGGTTCACGTCATAACGAGCGGGGTATTAAGATATTTTTTTTTTTGCAAAAAAGCTCGGGTAAAAGAGAGAATACAGTCAGTCAGCCGGTGGGGAGATCTGCAATTTGTCTCGGTGTACGTTTTATTGGTGACGTCTCTCTATTGGGATGATTATTTGTAAGTCAAAAAGCTTCTTTGCTTTTGAATTTTTTTTTTTTCCTTAGTATATTAAGTTTTTTTTTTTTTAATACCATTACATCTATGACGTTTACTGGAGGGATATTTACAGAATTAATTATATACAAAAAATAATAAACCCTACCTAAATTTAAAGAAAATGCAATCGCAACGTTGAGTAATTTACCACAACAGATCTCTCTTTGAATTATAAATAAATTAGGTTTATTTTGATAGTAGTTTATAGCTATTAATTACATATTAAACGTGTAATCTTAAACTTTATAATATTTACGTAAAACTTTGTATTAGAAACATCCAAAGATCAAAATCATTCTGAGATTTAGATCTGACTATAATGAGTTTTCAAATTTATTTAGGGAAAGTTAAAATAAAATTTTATGCTTTTCATTATTCTTAAAATAATTTCAAAACTAATGCAATCATTTGAGACATCTTGAAATCTGAAATCATGTAGACCCTTTACTACTTGAACAATCCAATGGTTTATGTAATGAAACAATTGACGCACAACATGTCAGTTATACAAAAGTTATTCTCTTTGTTTACCATACGAAAGGAAAAAAAAACATCTTTATAAAAGTGAAATAAAATCCTTTCTCGTAATACATCTCGACACGCAAATTTTTAAAAATCAATAGCTACGAGTCTAGTAAAATTAGCCATTATCTGTAACGTAAAAAAGCGCAAGTAATTTCATCCAAGCCCAAAAATAATCATCTCGCCATATAGATCGCGGTACAAGCACGAGCACAAAACTCCCGCGACATAATAGTCACCGCATGAAAATCCCCTATTCAATCGAGGCCCTCGCAATTCACACCTCAACCCAGGCAAAAGCTCGCGCATTCAACTCGACCACAATAAGACGCGCGTTACCTTAAAAATTGAAATTCCCATCGCAAGCCCTCCGGCGATAATATTCAAGCCAATACAGACCTCAAAAGAGAGGGAGAGAGAGTCTCTGTATATTCGCCTTCTCCCTTGTCAGCTAGCGCCGCTTATCGCGCACGCCGTATAGTGAAAAATGCCGCCCGAGTCCTTTTGTCGTCGAACGTGCGTTTGTACCCATATATATACATATATACACTCACAAGAGCATTCAATGCCTGTCTTTTGTACGTTTTCGTATTCTTAACGATTTAGAAGCAAAAATACATACATGTATGTATATGTATTCGTAGAGATATGGACTGAAAAAAGGGGATTCATAATGCATTGTACATTGATCGACCATCTCTCATTGCTCTGCACGCTGATCATTGAGGTTTTTCATTGGTTTTTTTTTTTTTTTTTTTTTTTTTTTTTTTCGTACAAAAAAGCCTGGCTAGGTTTTTTACTGTTGATTTTCACATCGACATGTATCACGTGAGTTCATAATAAGCATTCAAAACAAAATATTAATTTTCATTACCGTATCCCCTAAATATTTTGAAAAATAATTTAAAAAGTATTTATCTTTAAGGTATGTATATTACGTACAGTAAGTATTAATTGGTTTTTTTTAATTTATACTGCGATGTATACGTAAGAAATGTAATAAAGACTTTTTTTACAGCATCCCGTAAAAAAACTAACCAGTCGTATGTCACAACCCAATTGTTTTATCTTGGTTTCCCTTAAAGTAATATATTTTTTTTTTTTATTTCTCGATGCACTGTGTGGTATTGTATGCGGTTTTTCGACGTGCTCGAGAAAAATGCGCTTTTGATGGGCGCTGCTGTAACTTGTACTTTTTTTCTGTTGAAAAAAAAAGTACATGCAACTTGTTTTAAAATTCTCCTTTCATCGTTCTCTTGCGTGTGCTTGGCATGCGAAATTCGGAGGAGAAGAAAAATGATGTATAGGGTGTGGAGAAAAACAAGACTTTACACATCAAAAATAAAAGTAATTGTGCTAGCACTGTAAACTAATTATATACGTCGTCTAAGGACTTTTCACTTTTACTGCGCATATTTCTGAAGTGTAAAAATTAGGTTGCCAACAATAAAAAGTCTTTCATAAATAGAACACAACCACTTTGTAGTGCTGTAGTGCGGTAATTTTTATAAATATTTTTTTCTCTCAGTGTACGAACGAACAACTCGACTTTTTAATTGAGACGTGAATTAAGATCAACTTATCTGATTTGCAAAATTGCATGCTGGAAAATAAAAGTACTCGAGTTTGCTTGTATGCATACATTGAAAAATATTTTATTGATAGGGAAAAACTTTATCTTGAAAAATCCACCCCAATGAAGTTTTAAAATAAATGAAAAATAAAATTCCGAATCTGAAATTTGAGGCCAAATCCATCTATAATTGTGATTTCACGATTCAAAAGAGCCTAAGAGTGTAAAAAAAAAAAAAAAAAAAAAAACTCGGAAGTTGCGAATTTGTTATTGCCGCTCGCTTGCCCCGGGAGAAAAGTTGGGCGCGAAAATTTATCTCCCATCGGGTCGCTCTAACAGGTCGCGAGCGCGAAACGCAATTAGCCGTCGCTCGCGAGCGCGCTCTTTGAAATTTAAAAAGTTAACGCAGTAATTACAACACGACTCCTTCTTCCCTCCTCCGGGATTCCTTGTGCCCTCTTTTTTTTTTTTTTTTTTTTTTTTTTCTTTTTTTTTAAGAGTTTTTTTTTCTCACTTCGCGACGACTACTCGCTTTGAGAATACTAATTTTAAAGAAAATTATCGCCGAGCTTTGCAAATGAGCGATTCGAAACTTTTTTCATTTTGACACGGTAATTTCGTTTGCGAGCTTGTTTCCGTATGATATATCGTGCTTTGATCGTTGATTGAAGTTTCAAAAGTCCGAATTTAATTATCAAAAGAGCGTGTGTTACGCGCAATGAAACATTAATTTTTTTGTACTTTTTTCTTAAAACTTATTGGCACACGGAAGAAATTGTTCATTGAGTTAAAAATATTTCTATTTATTAAGTCAAACTATTTATTTTTGTTCTATCTTATTTAAAAAATTTATTATACGGCAGGACCAACCGTATCAAGTTAATTGGGCTAACTAAATTTTGTTCGATGTATTTTTCTTGAAACTTAGAAATTATTTATCCACTGCATCTTGTATAAATGATTGCAAAATTATTCACTGTATGGATGGTAATACCAACGAATTAAAATTTATTTAAAAAAAGACTTTTTGCTTGCAGCAGCAATTAAATAGTTTTTTGTATCATTTGAGCAAACAAGTATGAACTAGTTTTCACTATCAAAATTATTAAAACTATCATGTGGCTTCTTGCTAACAATTTTGTTACAGTTACAAACTACAGAAACCCAAAAGTAATAACCCTAGGGGTGAAAAATTTTCAAACTCTTTCTCTTCTAAAAAAGTTAAAATTACAAATCCTCCCCCCAATTTTTTTTCTCATATAAATATTCCGGCGCTGAAACTCGGATTGCGAAAAAAGATCACGATAACTTTTTTTTGAATTTTACAATCCATTCTCCACTCCCTCAATGCCCCATTTCAAACTTTCAACAAGAATCGTAACGAACATGTTAAAAAAAAAAAAAAAAAAAAATTACTACACGCGCGAAGGGCTTATTTCGCAACCACTTCGCATCCAAGGTCCTCCCGATCATCGATCAGTCATTACATAATGTTTGGTTCACTCTATTCTCTGACGAATTTCTTTGGAACGTATTTGAAATTCAAATCACTTAAATTCATCCCCATCGATTTTAGCGCCTGATGATAATTAACAGGCTTTTCTCTAAACAGTCTCCAACTTTAATTACGCACAAGAGCCGCATCTCGCTCGAACTTTGCAATTTCGAACTTCCCGTTCGAATTTTCAAACACTCCCGTAGCGCGTTTACGAACGCAAAATCCGCCAATTGCAATTCCGCCTTTTCCCCAAATTGAAGATTTCAACACCTCAACCAATTTAAAATCCTTACCTGAGACAAATCGGTGTCCTCGCGAATCCTCGCGTCGACTGACTGCTTGGCACACACGAAATCCCACCTTGACACCACCATCAGCACCAACAGGAAGCCGATCATCCTCGTCGTCATCGTCCCCTGCATCTTTGCGTTTAACCTGTTGTACACCGCACTTTTTTTTTCTTCTTTTTTAAAAAACACTCTATATATTTATCAGAACTTACTGGTCTCACTCTCACTGTACCGATTTATCGAAAAAATCGCTCCAAGAGCGCGCGAACGTTTGAAATTCAAAAGCGAATAACCAACAAGTGTACGAAATGAAACAGGGAAAAAGAATGAACGAAAAAAAAAAAGGATAACAAACTCAAGTATAACCTTGCGCACCCAAAGGTCTTCTTCTTCACTCACTGATACATGTGTATATATATATATTTTTTTTTCTCACTGTACACGCAGCAGGTATACAAAAAAAGACAGTAGGCAGGTAGGCAGACTCGTTTCGCGCTCTTTCTCTCCTCCACGCCTCCTTTGCCCTGATGGTATACAGGTATATGAGTCTAGCTAACAGCAGTCGACGGCGACGGCATTCGCCGGTTGACCTTCGCCTCTTTCAACGTGTACACTGCTCCGAAAGGAAAAAAACGACGATACTGATACCTGTACGTTACAAGTATGCACGATTGATCGTTAAATGATATCTACGTGCTGAAGACGATTTTTCGCATAAAAATTTACGGACACTGATGCAAAAACGATTACAAAACACAACGATCGGATACGATCGACAATGCATACATACATATATATATACCGTCACGATCGCGCGAGCCGTGTTGGCAGCACGAAGGATAGTGCGGAACTGCGCCCTCCCCATGCCTGGACCCCCGCTGGCCCCCCACCACCGGCGACTTATACAGTCCAGTGTGTGTGTGTGTGTACGCCGGCGCGCCACCGCGAGCGATACTGTCTCACTTGCTCCTTAAGGTATATACATAGCATGGCATGCATGTGCACTGGGTTAACTTGTACTTACCGCGAGTGAGAGATTTTTTTTTTTCTCTCTCTGCCCGATCGACTGCAAGTATCTATTCTTTCGTTCCTCGCAAGTGATGCGTTATAGTATACCGATTTGCGTGTTTCGGGGGTCGATGGTTTCACGCAGGTGTGGACTATGCGCGCTTTGGAATGCGACGGGGGTGGGACGATTGGAGGTAAGAGGACAGGTGTGGGAGATGAGCGTCTGTGGACGCTTTGATGAATGGTGATTTTTTTTAATTAGGTGCAATCGTTGAAACAAGTTGATACATACGAGTCTCCTTTTATTTTGTGTCGAGGGTACACTTGAAGGTTTTTGATGATGTGTATACAGAACGTGTGATTCGTTTTGGTGCGATCAGAGTTAAAGATAAAAGTCATACCTTGATTTTGTCTATTATTGCAAAACTATAGTGAAAATGAAAAATTCATGGGCACAAATTTTTCATCAGCTCTGCTGCATTGCTATCTTTATTTTTTAATTGCTTATACATCTATTAACAATACCTTTTTGTTAGTTCGATCAAAATAATAAACTAAGTCACTTTGTTTGTCCACTTGATAGGAGAGAATGTAAATTTATTTGTAAAAAAGTAATTTTGGTACAGGCAAACTCTACGTTATGTTTGAATAAAAAAGTTTGATATCGTTACGATAAGTATTTATACAGTGCACATACAGTTACACAAATATTTTTTCATCCCCATCTGAATTCGTGTTTTTACTAAAAATTTTATACTTACATTTTATATTTTTCTCGTAAAATAACTTAAACATAAATAAATGTTATGTCAAGGGAATCTTGGTATGTAACTGATTAGGTACACAACGACAAATCTGCAGACGGGCATTTTTAGTAATAATTACCTACACTTCGATTTGAGATTTAAAAAATATTTATTATAAATTATCTTTAGACGTAATTTTTCTTTGTCAATTCCAGAACTTCTTTTATGAGAAGGCAAAAATTGACTAATTTTTCTAAAAGACTATTCCACACTATTTAAAGCAAAATAATTTTCTCACGCATTGACAATGACGTTATTTGCCCAATGGAAATTGTTACTTGTATTTACATCATTTTTATCAGTCAAAATCCACAAAGATCAAACGTTTCCCGTATATTTGTTCAAACAAAACATTTGGAAAAACAAAATAATCCACGAAAATTAATTAAAATTGCCTGAACCCCACGCAAGCCGATTTATCAACAATCCTATACTGTCCACATATCTAACAAAGTACCCGTGTTTGTCGAGTTTGCATCTGCTGTACCGATTCCATACGGTCTTCCAGACTTTATCGTTAATGTCATAATCAACAAAAGCTCCATAATGTAATCATCCACGTCATTGCCGTAATTCACTGCTTTCAATTAATTTCATCCAACGTGCAATACAAACGCGAGCTATACGCAGTCCGATGTACCTTTGCAACGATACATTTAATTAAAACGTCAATTTTCATCATCCCATAAAGTACTACAGTGTAATAAATGAACAGTTGTAACTTTTCTCCAACTCAATTCCAAAAATCACACGTTTTCACTGCACCGCGTTCAAGACGAAGACGAGCTCGTCCGTCTCGGGGCCGAAAATTAACACACGCCATTCAAACTTGCGGCGTATACGCGTACACAAGCAAAAAGTCATACGAGCAACTGAACAACTAAAACAATTAAAGCAACTGGTATCCGTCACACTACCACTACCTACTGCGGATTTTCGGACAACGACTGAAATATCATATACGAGTGGCACAAGTTGACCGCACATCAACTATGACACGTGTACGTGTGCCGAGGTGTCCGAACTTTTGGTCAAACAGTGGAGAGTTCGTTGGGGTATAGTACTTGGGATTTTCGAGCTAGTGGGCGGTTAGTTCTATGTGCGCTGATAGCCGTGATTGATTTTCGGCCATATATGGTGTACCTGCGGAGCTAAGTTAAATGCGTTGCTTTGAATGTTTCTAACGTATATGTACGTCGGTTCTTCTCTCCACATCATTTCGGGACACATATATGTTTTATTTCTTCGTCTTTGCGGAATTTCAAGTCTACGTTGGTATAGAAAAAAGAGATCACTTCAAGGACTATTTTAAATTAGGCACTCAAATATTTCAGCAAGGAAGCCCCTGAAAAAAAACGACTTAAACAAAAGGTGACGGATTTACAGTTAATTTTGCATTTTTTCTAAAACCCTAATCAAAAGTAGGGGTTACCGTGTGATAAATGTATAAAAAATACGAATTGACCTTGAAGTTCAACTTCAAAGTATACTTTGGGGTCACCATCCGATGTCCTACTTTTACCGTAACCACAAACATGTATAACATAAGTGTATAAATTAATCCAAAGTACTATTATTGTAGCGTGCACTATTTTTCAACAAGTGCATAAAGTCAAGGGTCAGTGTGTAAAATAATTACTATGCACACTAGTGCAAAAATGAAGCACTTCGCATACTCTGGACAGGCAGGGTATTAAAATGCTATCTTTCGATTCTCATACTCTGAAAATTTATTTTTTTCTGTCAAAACTCCATAACAAGTCCGTATAGCATTTAATTAACTGCAGCCGACACATTTAAAAAGTTACCTTCTTCGCTGTTTAATAGTACAAGAAAAACAACACGAAAAGAATTTACTTCCACGTTCGGTAAATAAAAAAAAAAAAAAAATGGGATCCCACGCGCATCCGCTATCAACAATGAACTAAAAGCGTGTTTTTTTTCCACATTTCTTTTGTCTCTGTTTGTTAGCGAGTGTGAGACTGCGAGGGAAAAAAAAGATCTCAGTGTCCGTTCGAAAACAGAATGTTCACGTTTGATTGCTCCAAACAGATATACACACTGCAGGGCCGATCCCTTCCCACACATAAACGCAAACTTGCGTGCAACATACACCCCTGAATAAAAAGAAAACGTTTGCCCTCTCTTTGTTTCTCTCTACAGCTGGCAACACTTCCATTTTACGCGGGTGCATCGAGCTACGTTTGTTTTGTCCGGCTTGTTTTTGTTCTTTGGGAATTTTTTTCTAAATTTTTAAATCGCGTACTATGGTGTTTCTTTAAATACAATGAGAGATCGGTGTTGGTCAAAGTAAACGATGAAAATTCAAGTGAAATGGTTGAAAAGCACCCCTTTAGGGGAATATTTCAAGGGGTATTTCCGTTCCACTTTAAAACGTCGATACGCTTGATGCACATCGGGTTATCGGGCTAAAAATAAAACAGGAGAAGTATAGCCCCCTAGAGTTTGGCGCGGTAATAAGTCAAACAAATCGGCCATAGTTATTAAAGCTTTTGACTCATCGATACGGCTAAATTCAGGTGCTGCGCATTCCGCTCTTCTTTCGATGTGAAATATTTTCCTAAACTGTGGGATTTATAATTCGAGAGGATAGTAAACTTTCGTTGATTTCATCTAACCACGCGAAATTTACGTTTTTGTTATTAACAGTGAACTTTGTATGGAATTCCAATACTTTGACGTACAACGCAAATCTGCTTGATATGATATGAACAAACAACATGGGATACGCCGTGAAAATTTACTCTGTGTTTCAAGAGAGCGAGAATAAACATAATCACATCCTGATGAGTTTCCTACAAGTGGTACAGTAATTTTTACCGTTAAAATTCTCTTCCAAAGAAGAAAAAAGTAACAACAGGTTTGGCGTTAAAATTTTACCATTTCCCGGTAAAAATTTCCATAAATCTCTTTAGTAATTTTACTGCATACAGAGTAAAAAATATTAATTTTGATTATGTGCACAATTTCTGTAGAAAGTTATAATTATTATCCCAACGCTTTTTTATCACCGGGAAAAATCTAGAAAAAAATTTTACTCGCAGCCATAACCTTCCGCAACATCAAAAAACCTCTCAACGCGATCCATACTTCCCCTTAACTACATCTCCATTGAGGTCCATAAATAAGTCTATAAATAAGCCTCCGTGACACTCCGACCACGTATACGCTCGTCCGCCTCTCATCTATAAAATATGAAAGCCCCCCACAACCCCCCACGGCCCCCCTAAAGTTTATCACACGCGCTCGAGCGAGAACAAAACAATCGGTTTACCTTCGATACTCTAACCCGCACGAGCGCGTGTTTTAAGCTCAAAGATGTCATCCGCAGCGGACGTATCTCTTCGACAAACTTAGCTTCTCACCCTTTCTTGTGTATTAAGTGTATATATCAAAGGTCTCCACTCCACCCCCGACATCTGGCGAAGTACAAGCTGCAAGTTTCCTGCGCTACTGAAGTTCGCAGACGATATGGTGGCGCCCTCTGGCTTTTCTCACGAGGCATACAATGTGGGGGGCGGAGGGGGGCTATATAAAGCAGCGGCATACATCTTACAGAGGAGCAGAAGGTAGGTAAGAAAGTCATGTCGTAGTAAATCCCGGAACATTAATATTAATACCTCCTTTGGCGCGTGTATACGTATGTATAAGCGCGTATACGTGCGAGAGTTTCGCGGCTATACGCACGTGCATATGGAATTTAAGTTCACTTACTCCCACGCGCTCGGCTTTGTACGTATACGTATGTGCCTCTGCATATGCACGCGGGCTCTGGACTCTTTGCTACTGTGTGGTCGCCCCATATGTTCTTATCGTGTGTCACTGCGCTCGATTTGTCATACCGTGAAGTAGTGTTCTTTTCTTTCTCTCTATCTCTCCCTTCTGGATGTATAACATATATACGCGCGTGTCTCGAAGAATGGAAAGAGAAGCTATGCATAGTCTATATTGAACTCGTTGGGACTGCCATGGATCGTAAATAGAATTGCTTGTTTTTCTTAT